CTTATCCTTGCTGTAGTAACTCTCCATCTATTGTGTAGCAGCCCTCCTGCTTTTCAGACTGACTGTTGAGGTATCACAGTATTTGTGTGCAAGTGGTCCTCACTTTACTTCATAAACGGCCCCAAAGTGCAAGAGTGGTGATGCTGGCAATTCAACTATGCCAAAAAGAAGCTGTAAAGTGAAAGGGTAAAAGTTCTTGACTTAATAAAGAAAGAAAAAATGTGCATACTGAGGTTGCTAAGATCTATGGTAATAATGAATCTTCTATACATGAAATTGTGAAGAAGGATAAAACAATTGTGCTAGTTTTGCTGTTGCACCTCAAACTGCAAAAGTTATGGCCATAGTGCATGGTAAGGTTTTAGTTAAGATGGAAATAGCATTAAATTTGTGGGTGGAAAACATGACATCGCAATGGCTTGATGATCTTCCTTCTGACATATCATCAGAAGGTCAATAGTAGCCTGACACTACATCACAATGTCTATGTCATTCACCTCACTTCATCTCATCAGATAGGTATTATATCTTATCATCGTAAAAAGAAGGGTGAGTACAGTACAATAAGATATTTTGAGAGACCACATTCACATAACTTTTATTACAGTATATTGTTATAATTGTTCCATTTTATTACTAGTTTTTGTTAATCTCTTAACTGTGTCTAATTTATAAATTAAACTTTATCACAGGAATGCATGTACAGGAAAAAACATGGTATACATAGAGTTTGGTACTATCTATAGTTTCAGGGATCCACTGGGGGTCTTGGAACATATACCCCATGGATAAGGGGGGACTGCTGAATATTATCTCTCTGAACAATCTTATCCTATGTGTTTCAGTTATGGTCTATATGCTGATTACATCAATTACATATTTCCAGTCCAGTTTTTGTTTTAAACTAGAACACAAAGTACATATGTCCAATTATTTAACTGCTCTAGGATATGCCACAGATAGCTTGACCCTGAACCCATCATTTACCAAAAGCCTGATGTCTCCATTTCTTATATCTTCAACAGAACTGCAGAATTAGTCCATCAATAGTCTAAACCATGAGAGAAAAACATTGCCTCTATCATAACCCACACATCCAGTCAGTCAAGTCCTGCTGATTTTATCTCTTAAGTATTTTCTTAGTCTTTCCACCTGTGTACAACACCTCTGCCTTCCCTAGTTTTGGCCACTATGAGCTCTAACCTAGATTCCTTGAAGATCCTCATAACTGGTCTCACTGACTCTAGGCTGCTCCTTGTACTTTCTCTACGCTTGTGTCAGGATCTCCGCAAACAAACATCTGTGATATGTAATAATAGAAAAGGGAGTATAAAAAGTGAGATTAGTGCTTACTGAGAAGCAATACTGAGAAGATTCTGAATTTTTTTTTTTTTAAGATTTATCCAGTCACATTGGGGTAGTCATCAGGAGATTTGCTGAGGGCTCTTCTGATAACTGCTTGTGAAGTTGAAAAAGATGATGGAGATGATGATAATGAAGATGGAATAAAAAGATGACTTGTAGGTTCTTGACTCATGAAGGCAGACCAGTGGAGAAGAAAATAAATTGGAATGTAGTGGGGTTTAACTCATGGAAATCAATTTATCTTTAGAGCTGGCCCCAGATTGGGTGAGGAGGTCAGAACAAAACTGTGTCCAAACCTGAGCAGCATTCAGGCAGATGTCAATACTCACAGAATCCTGACTACCTAGCAGGTGACTAGAACAGCAAAGAGGTAGGCAGGCAGTACACAGGAATATGTGACAACAGCATTCTTGTCATGAGTGTCTGATAGACTTGGAGAATGAGTAATACCAGTCGGTATTAAAAAGGTAGGTAGAGACATCAGGATCATATCAGCACAGGCTGAAGTTTAAGGTTGGGCTACATGTAGGGTGTTGGTGGGGACATAGACAACATTATCTAGAATTTAAAAACTAATACAAAGCTGAGTTGTGAATGCTGGGCAAATAGCTCTCTTCAGACACACTGGATACAGGTTGAATGCAGAAAGATTGGGCTTGGTCTAAAGGTAAGGGACTTCACTACCTGCAGCTGAATAGAAATGGGTAGAACAGAGACTGATGGGGTAACTAACAAATAAATCCACTCTTAAGGGCAGCAAATATTTTGTTTCTTAGTTTTAACATCTAATATCAATAGATATAGCCCACATAAACAAAAGCTCTGTGGGGTTCTCAATAACTTTTAAGATTATAAAGGGATATTGAGGCTAAAAATTTAACAACCACTACCTTTTTTTTTTCTTTTAGCTGAACCATCCTGCCACCTGTTGGCAGCTCAGTGGCTGCTCAGCTCGAGTTGGGAATCGAACCGCTGTTGCTCAGAGCTCAAACTCTTGAGTGAGCTCTTAACCAACTGAGCCACTTGGCCAGCCCAACAACCACTATGTTTAAGTAGTAAACTCATGAAGGCTAACCAACATGGCTGACAACAAGCAGTAGAATGGCTTAATTTAAACAAAATGAAAAATTTAAACAAAATGAAGGTAGAAGCCTTAGGAGAGACATTGAAAAATCAAGGGCAGTCCTCACAATTATGCAGTCAGTAGAAAATCCTCTCATCCTCTGGTACTGTCCCCTCTATCCCCTCATGTGAAGAAAAGTATCAGTATGGCGCCATTTCCAAGCACAGAGACCACAGATATACATACAGACTGGGGGGTGCCAAAAAAATGTATATTCATTTTAAGAAATGTTATCTATGTATTTGTTTTTAAAGTTGAACTGAATTAGAGTAGCAATGTGTAACTGCAGAAGTCAAACATGACTTGCATTCATCTTTTGTTATCAGTATATATTATCACAATTTTAATACAACCACACAACCTTCCACCCCTTTTAGGAAAGTCAAAGAATGTGCCAGAGCTCTCAGCTCTGTTTATGTGGGGAGAACTCTCTCTCTGCCTTGCAGGCAAAAAATTTTGATTTTGCCAGTGCCACCTGGAAGGTAGGAGAGTGAAAACTATATGTGAAATAATATAAGAAGTATTGTTTTCAAAGCTGCAGGCCAAGAGTCGAGTGGGAAAATGGGACAAGGACAAATGGAGGCAATGGTCCAAGAGGGTAACATTTCAAAGCACAGCAACGTAAAATATACTCTCTAAATGCAGTGATACTGTGTAGTATTCTATGACATTAAATTATAACCTCCTGGAGTACATTTTTAAATGTGCCATTTACAACAGTTACCAAAGAAAGTGAAGGTGATCCTTTTATTTTCATTTTATTTACATTGTGTATATAAATAGTATTTCTTGGAAAAAATTTTAGAATTTATAGCAGTCTCTCAAACCAGATGGCCAATATTACTATCACCACTTCAATTTCATATATTTAAACACTGGGAAGAAAGTTGGAGTGAAGCTGCAATAAACCTAGAAAATAATTCAAGTTAACTGAAGATCAAGCCAATTTATATTCTATTTGGCTGTCTTGTTTTTCAGCTCATGCATATTAACAGGTATGATGTGAGTGTGAATTTACTGAAGCACAAGTCAAAACCTGGGATTTGTGTTGTAACAGTGTGAACTAACAGACTTGCCAAAACTTGTACCAGTTCAAACTCACAGCTCCTTTCTAAGCATATCAAGTATTTGACGTATCTGCTTTCAAGCTTCTGCAAAGATATTCCTAGCTTATGAATAATTGTGCTTCCCATGCAAGTAAAAATAAAAGATTGCTTTCTTCAGAATAATGGTAATCCCTTATAATAACCCAGAAACCTAAGATACCAAAAATCTGATAAGATAATTTATTTGGCCATCTCCTATTAGGTACCCACATCACTGTAAGGGTGACCTTAGCAGTCTCACATTTGACTATTAGTTTTCCCATAGGCCTTATTCTTCAAAAGTGTTTATGTTTTGTTTTGTTGTAGACTATTTTGCTTTTGGTTTTAACACCCATTTCCATTCTTACTTTCTATGGGTTTCAGTGCTCTTTGGGCATTTGACCGTAAGTAGAATATCACATTTTAAAACCCAAGGAAACAAAATTCTTACCATTTTGCACAACGATTAAGAATAAAGAAACAAATTTCCAGATCATTAAATATATATACTTTCAGTACTATTGGGTTCCCCTAGATAAAGCATTCTCATTTTTATTCATATTAATTTCTGAAACAGAGACTAAATTATCTCAAAAAGCTTTCCAAGGATGTTATCCTTTACACTCAACTTTAAACATTCATTGCCCATTACAAAGCTCACAACACTTATTTATAAAAATAAGCTCTGAATTAATAAGACATATGTATCAAACTATGTATTATTTAGCCATTTAGCCCACATGTTTTTTTTTCTTTTATCTTCCCTGTTTTAACTCAGCTGTCGTATCAAAAACAATGAAATGTGAAAAGAAAATATAGAGTTTCATTCGGTGAACCATTATGAATTTATCCAAATGATTCACTGATAAAGGGTCTTCATTTACTTTGTATTTCTGCTCTGATTCTCCCCCACAAATCGTTGACATTAGCAAAACTTCCTTCTGTAAGTTATTCTTCATAAGAACCTTCTTTATCCGACCATGTCAATTAGGCTCCTGCAGCTCAGAGAGCTTTTGTATCTACTAGCAAAAATCCTTTGTAAATCACCGACACTTTCCCTTCGCCAGCTGAATAACCTGAGGCACGAGGACATGTGTACGTGATACATGGCAGCATGTTTGTCTGTGAGCTCTTGGCTTCAGCGTCTTGGGGAATTCTGACACTGGAAAATATTTCAAAATTGTGTTGCCTTCTGGAAGGGGCCCAGTTCTAGTAGTTTTCAAGGTATTAAAATGTTTCCCATCTGTTATCAAACAATTACTGAGCACTCTCCATATTCCATTCAGGCTTTTGGCTGAACTCTGGGAATACAAATATGAATAATATGAATAAAATAGGTCCCTGATCTCAAGAGGCTCATAGTCTAGTCAACAGAGACACACTGAAGATAACTCAACATAGGATGTAAACACCATGCATTCACTCACACTGAGGCCCTCTGATGCCAGGCACTATGTTGATGATGATGGCAGAAGGGAGCTCAGAGGAAGGCTCTTCATCCAACTGGAGGGTTCAGAGGTGATTTTCTGGAAGAAATAACCTTTGAATTATTGTTACACAGATGAAGACAGGGGCAAGTGCATTCTGGGTAAGTAAAGGACATAGTTAAAAGCAGAGTAATGTGAAATGTCATGGGCAATGTAGGAACTGATGCTATTTGCTAATTCTAAAACATTCAATGCTAGGCTGGGCTGGCAATTATCAAAAAGCACTCGTCTTCTCAAGGGCCCCTTAATTAAAAGGAACTTAGAAAAGCTGAAGCCATTCTCACAGCAAAGAATTATAAACTCATTAGGCTAACATACACGTTAACTATTGTATAGAATTTGGGTAAGAGCTTCCGATCATGGGGTATAGACAGAAAAAGGAGGTTAGATTTATACCACAGAAATAAAGAGAAAAGTTAGCTTGACTGGAGGATTGAATTTTTCACAGACATACAATACACATACTAGTACAGTGGGTCTAAAGCCACTACCCCAGGTCAGGATTACCCTGAAAGTGAATGAAAATAATCTAACCAGTTTAAACCAGATTCCTGTTCACTTTAGTTCCATGATACTCTTCCTAGTTTCTGCCACTTCTAAGACTGGAGACAACCTTACTAAATGCTTCTGTGGGGAGATTCAGGAGAAGATAGGCGTATTACCTCTGTATCATCCACCTTTTCCTAATCCCTTTTAGTTGTCCTTCAAAGGGCTGGAGAAAAACCTCTTCTATGATGTGAATTGCATACAAACTGTTCACAGTTGACCACATCCGTTGGGCAAGACTCACCAATCCCAAGGAATGTACAGACTCAGGCTCCAAAACACAGGCTGACTGATCATCCTGGCTGTCTAAATTGGGAACTAATTAAATGTTTTAACTGGAAGTCTCTCCTCACTGCAGCAGAACAGAGTCATTTTGAAGCAAACATCTCAATGAAACACTTCTTTGGGAAAATCCAGTTCAACTACAAGAAACAACTGATTCTGGTTGGCAGCACAATCTATTCCTACTTGATTCCCCCCTCCCCACTCAGCATACACACAGGCTAAACATCGCTTATGCTGAGAAATGTAACCACAGAGAAAGGGTGACATTCTATCACACGGAAGTCAAAGTCATCAGAAACAGTTGTTCTTACCTACGTACGATTTCAATCCAGCCCACTGGGGCTGATGAAATAGTATATAAATTATTTGCATAAAGAAGGTCTTAGAGCAGCACTTAAACATGTTGGTTATCATTTGAATGCAGTAAGAGTGTGTGTGGGTGGGGTAAGCTATTTATTTCATTTCCATTAATAATCAGATGTTAGTTGAAGCATTTCTCCTGCTTGGCATTCCCTTAAAGAGGTATAACAATCTGAGGCAGTTGATTGAACTCTAACTCTCTGCAAGTGAGGAGTCTCCACTTGAACTTGGAGCCCAAGCTTCTTTAGAGGGGCAGCTGTAATTATTAGATTAGCCTGCATGGATCTAAGAAGGGAGCCAGATCTGACACCTTGAAGACCAGAAAGTGGAAGTTGCCAAGCCTCTCAAGGTGAGAAACCTCCACTTGGACTTCAAGTCCACACTTCTTTATAAAATCAGAAGACTTTAGCACCATAACCTCTTGGGTTATTACTGAGTATCATCTCACTCAATTGTTATGGATGCAAAAATTAGTGTCACATATGAAAACAGCTGCAACAAATATACACAGAAGGCTTCAAGTTGTTGAGCAGCTGCTCTTAGGCAAGCACTGTCTAGACTGGAGATTGTCATCAATGTTGAGTGACTTAAATATGTAATAGGAGTCATGAATTGTGCAAGGTGATGGTGCACAGATACGAAAAAGACATATAATATAGGGCAGACACATAAAAGGATAACTTTGATATAGTAAGGTAAATTCCAAGACAGAGATAAGCACAGAGTGATGTAGGAGCCATCCTAAGGGGAGGGGCGAAGGGAAGACATTATGAAAGGAAATCGGGCCTAAGTTAAATTATGCACAATGAGTAAGAGTTGGCCAGATTAAGAAGGAATGGGATGGGTATGCCAGCAGAATAACTAAAATAACATGTATGGTTTTACTATAAGTCATTTGATGTTACTAGACTACACATTGAGAAATGAAGGTGGTAGGTAATGGAAAAGAGAACTTGGTAAAGACAAATACCTGTATTTACTGAATAAATAAAGAGCTCTCTTGAAAACTAGAAAAGACCCATTTTAAACATGGTCAAAACACTTTACTAGGCACGTAACAAAACTGAAGATCTGAGAAACTTATGAATATTTGATTGCCTCATTAGTAATCATGGAAATGCAAGGAAACTTTCATGTTATGATAAGGAACTCAGACTTTTTCCTCTGGGTAATGGTAAGCCATTGAATAATTTAACAGAGAAGCAAGGGGAAAAAATAGACAATAAAAATAGATCCACAGAGAATCAGATAGTGATATAATAGTTTATATGGAAATATAATGGGCTGAGAATAGCCAGACTATTCTTGCAAAAGAAGAATAAAGTTGAAGGATTTACTTTACCAGATATTAAGACTACCAGGTATTATAAAGCAACAGTAATAAAGAGAAAATGTAAAGATAGATAAATAGATCAATGGAACAGACTACAGGGCCCAGAAATAAATACACATATATGAATACTATAGTTTTGATTAAGGTGGCACTGCCAAACAGAGGCAAATAAACCATCTCTCAGTAAATGGTGTTGGGTCATCTGGATATATATATATATATGTGTAAAACTTGGCTCTTACATCACAAATAAAGGTCAATTCTAGGTATATTGTAGAGCTAAATATGAAAGGTAAAACATTAAAGCTTCTAGGAGAAAACAGAAAAATATTTTTATTATTTTGGAGCAGGCAAAGTTTCTTAAACAGGACTCATAATGCACTAGTAGTCTTAAAGAAAACAATTGATAAACTGGATTACATTAAAATTAGGAACTTCTGTTTATCAAAATACTATTAAGAGTGAAAATGCATATATATATATATATATATATATATATATATAGAGAGAGAGAGAGAGAGAGAGAGAGATATCCCTATCAATATTTATCCAGCCTACAAAAATGTATATTCAGAATATATAATAACTCTTAATTAATCAACAAAAAAGACAGTGAGCCAATTTTTTAAACAAATAGACACATCACAAAAATGGATATCTGAATACCCAAGAAATGTGAATTTTTGATTATCAGGGAAATTCAAAGTAAAACCACAGTGAGAGTCTTAGATATCCACCAGACTAAGTCAACTTAAAGACTGACCATACCAAACGTAGGCAAAGTTGCAGGGCAACTGGCACTCTCAAACACTGATGGCAGGAATATAAATTGGTGCAGTCACTTTGAAGGACTCTTTGATACTAACCACCAAAAGTGTACAGAAGCGTACTCTGTGACCTAATAATTTCACTACTAAGTATGTAGTTTCTCAACATAAATGCACAATATCTTCACCAAAATGAATGTTCAGGGCATCATTATTTGTAATAATCCCAGACTAAAAATTACTCAAATGCCTACTAACATAGAATGGGTAAACAAATTACGATGTATTCATATAACAGAATACCACACAGTAGTAAGAATGAATATTCCATAACTATATGCAAGCATATGGATGAATTTCACAAACATAATGTTGGAGGAATAAAGCTATCCCAAAACAAGTATATGCCACATGATGTCACTTTCACAAAATATAAATTATGTTGTTAGAAATCAGGATCGTAATTATCCTTGGGGTAAGCTATGACTAGGTGACACAAAGAAGATCTTTTATGGGTGCTGATAATATTCTGCTTTTTATCTGAATCGTGGTTATGAAGATATATTCAGTTGATGAAAAGTATTTGCCTGTGCACTTATGAGACGTGTACCAGTCTGTAAATTCTGTTTATTTTACTTCAATATAAAAGCTAAAATGGATCTAGAAGAGCCAGGCAGGTGAAGGAAATGAGAGAATCAAGTTGGGTGGAAGAGTACCAACTATATACTTCTCGCTATGGTTTGTTCTTAATATATGTCAATAAAAATTACATTAAAACACAAAAAAATAGAATATACCCTGTACCTGAATTGGTAAAGCATATAACATCACTATTTAGAACTAAGAAAATAGTAAGAAGCTGGCAGAAAACAAAGGCAGATCTGACCTGCCAAAAAGAACACTGCTGGGTTCAAGCAGACTTTAATGAATGGGCTCCCATTCATAGTCACAGAATATCAGCCCAGAGCATTTTTTCTGAAGGAAATTTCTGAGCTTTCACCTTTGGGAAATATGCACAGAATAAATTCAAACTTTCACATGTAGGATTTTCCACAATTATTTGCAATTTGTTTCAAAACACTGAATATATGTTAGCTTATGCCCAAATGATCTTGTTTTCTAGCTGAACTTCCAGTTTCAGAATTAGCTCTGTGTGTGTGTGTGTGTGT